TGAGTTAAGTGGTAAGAAAGAATCAAGTCATATGAGAAAATGCTGGACCAGAGACAAATGTTTTGAGAACAAAGGTTAGGAGTGTTGAGAAGGGAGTGAGTGAATTGAAGAGGCAGGAGGTGTTGACCAAGAAACTGCTGGGGTCAAGGTTTCACAGGTAGAGCAGGGCTTGGTCCAGAGGTGTGGCAGGCATAGAGACTGGGTGAAGGCTGGCTAGTCTTTACCCAAGCCTCAGTGGGTCTCAGAATTTATCCCTAGAGACAAGGGTTACAACCACATGCAATTTTATTTTGATCTCACAATCAAATGCTGAGATCCCAGTCACTTCTTAGCTGCTTTGAAAAGAAATGGAGGACAACAGAACAATTCTTTTGAAGTCCTCAATGCGTCTTTGCAGAGCAGTGCGCATGTGCCAGGGGTTTATATATTCTCCTTGACTTGAGTCATGACGGGATTAGTGCCTTTCCTGATTTCTCCGAAATAGCAGGGATTTTCAGGCTCTTTTTGGCATTGGGGTTTTGTAAACATTCAGTATACTCAAGAATAGCCTTTCTCTGAACAGGTTAAAACAGTGTTCATCTCCAAATCATGTGAAGTAAAATGGAAACAATAAAAAGTGCAAATGGAAATATAAGAAAACAAGGTGGGAGGAGGTGGAAAATTTAAAATCATTTCAAGAAGAAAGGTCTTTTTAGTTCAGTTTTATTGAGATACAATTTATACATCACTCATATGTAATTCCTAATTTTGACTACAGAATTCAATGAACGTTGACATACGTTTATGCTTGTATAATTACATTTCCATCACCCCAAAACATTTCCTCATACCCATTTCCAGTCAATCTGCTTCCCCTAAACTCAGCCTCTGGTGATCACTGATTTCCTCACACAGTAGTTTTGCCTTTTCTCAAATTTTAGATAAATGAAATCATACAGAATATAGTCTTTCACACTGAGCTTCTTCAGGAAAACCAGTCATATATGAAGTATATGAACATGACTTACGGGCTAGGGAAAGGCAAGGAAAATAGAGAGGTTACCAGTCTCAGCGTCCACCTACTTTTGCTTCATCCTAACTAAAACTGCCGGGGAAAAATCAGGTTCTGTGCACTAGTTACATCTTTCTAACACTCACTAAAAATACATAATAATTAAAATTTAAAATATGCAATCATTCAAATTTTATACAGATTAGTGATTAACGTATCTCATTCAGGAAAAACATTAACTTAAAAGATCTTGACATTCTTTTATAACTCCTAACAGTTTTATTCTCTTGGATAATGATCTGAGTCATTGGCAAAATTTGTACTGATAACAACTGAATCCCCACACATAGTATAATGCACATTTACCTTACTCTTAGAGATGAATTAAAATTTTTTGTTTTTGTTTTCTGCCCTTATTTCCCATTTTATTTAGCTGGAATTAGAAAACTTTGTTTGGATATACTGGGAAAAAACCCCACAACTAATAGAGACAGAAATCAAGACTTATTGTCCAGTATACATAGAATGGGAAGATGTCTTGAAGGGTGTGGGATTTGCAGAAGAATTTCACATCAGATAGATGATCACCTAACCCAGCGTTGCCAGCATATCAGGAAAATGTAGCCCAGTGAGACACCATAGAAAGGGCAGAAGAACATTTTGCACTCCAGTGTCTGTCTGTAGACAATCTACTCGAGGACACTCATTCTTTCTGCACTACTGATTCCACTCGGTCTGTAGTTTTATACTGAGACCCTGCAGCTTTCTGTCTCTGTGTGGTTGCAGAGGCTTCAACAGACTGAGTCACAGTGACTGCACTGAAAAACCACTGGTCTCATGAAGGCCGATGTATTTCTGTAGCTGTGGCCTTTTCCTAGGAAATTAGAACACTGTGAGGTTCCCAGAGGGACTTGGAAATGTGCATAAGAAAAAAACCTAAGTTTAATTTTTAAAAAGCTCTATTTTACATTTATCGTTGTGACAGTTGTTGCTAAGTGGCACATCTAGACATTACAAAGGGAGCTGGACAGGACCTGATCAGGGGTTGTGGGTGGTTGAGTTCTAATACACCTGCTTCTCCAGTGTTTCTTTCTACCAAGGCGAAATCACAGCAGATTGGAAGAGGAGGCAACTATGAAATAGCAAAGTGTAGCAGAGCCTAATTGGAGGTGTGTAGAAGGCAGGAGTGGGGCAGTAACATCTACTTTTTGATCATGATTCAGTTTTTCACAGCACTGAGGCCCACTTTGCTGTACTTAACTAGCTGTTTGGTAGGAATGCTAGAAACTCCAGGGCTTTGAATGAAGGAAGGGGGCCCATTTGAATCTATGTATTAGTTGTTTTTCTCAGCTCTTTTATCTGCTACAAGATAAAGATACTAACTACTGGCTCTTACATTGTGTCTCAGGAGAGGTCATTCCAAGGTGAAATCTTGGTATTGTATTTGGTGATAATCTCATAGTTCTAAATTCCAGTTAATTCAAAACTAGGGTCTGGCATAAGCACTTAGTTACTTAAAAACATGCCTAATTCTATCTTCAGCAAATGTGATTTTTCCATTGTAACATGAACTTTTGTGTTAATTAGCTTTCCATTGCTGTGACATAATACCCGAGATCAACCACTTTGAAGGTTTATTTTTGCTGTTTCAGAGGATTTGGTCCATGGTCACTTGGCCCTGTTGCCTTGGGCATCATGGCAGAAGCACATGGCAGATAAGGCGTCTCAACACATGGCCAGTGGGGGCGGAGGGCTGGGGTCCCAATATCCCCCAGTGACCTAATTCCCTCCAGCTAGGCTGCAACTCTTAAAGGTTCTACCATCTCCCAACATCACCTCAGGCTGGCATACAGAACTTTAAGGGGTCATTTAAGATCCAAACCATAACAACTGCAAGCCATCTTTTCCTCTGAAGACTGCTATTGGTGATTGAAGTCAACAGGGCCTTATTTAACAAGCAATGTCAGTACACGTGCAATGCTGACATCTTTCACTTGCACTGATAATAAGCTTTTACATTTCAAAACCACAAATTCAAAGATTGCAGGATTAAAAATTGCCTTTAAAAAAATGCTACTGCAAACAAAGTCCACTTTGTAATCAGAACCCTACTTTTATTTCTGTATAAAACTTCATAGAACAATGGTCATTTGTAGACACACGGATTCCAGGAAACTAAACAAATAAGAATTTATCCTGTAAGTAAAGCAGGTTATATAAATTTTAAATGAAGAAAAAACCCCACCCAATTAAGAGGGGCAAAAAGGATCATTTTTCCTTCTTTGAATTGTGCTGCTTAAACTAATATAACAACTTATTCCAAAATCAAGTTTTTAAAAATATCTTAATGATTTAAACATTTTCATTAGAGTGACTTTTCCTATAATATAAACACAGGGTTAACCAAACCAACAAGAAAAACAAAACCTCTTGTTTCAAAGCTGGTTGAAAACAATTCTAAATGTATTAGTGGTATTTACTACCTTGGTGAATGCCTGAGGATATCTCACACTTACACACTTGCCCTGGGATGGATCTACTCAGAAAAAGGGCAGAATACGTACCGATTTCAAGACATGGTCTGGATATAAGGGAGAAGTCCCAGCTGCACGAACTTGCACTCTCCTCTCTCAACACACACGGCCCACCATCCCCGCCACCAGAAAAAATGGGATTTGTAACTGAAGGACAGGCTATGTGCCATTTTCACTAAACGGTTTTTCCAGGTTTCTTGTATCCGATTAGAACCTAATCCTCAAAAAAAAAATTTTTTTTAATTTTAAGGCACTGAACTTGCAAAGGGAATCTTCGTTTATGCAAATATGCAAGCTTGTAATGAGAACTGGGGCCAGGCCTGCTGGCGAATACCCATATTCCTAGCACTCTGGGAGGCTGAGGCAGGAGGCTAACAAGTTCCAGCTCAGCAAGTGCAACTTAGCAGGACTCTATCTCAGAACTGGCCAAGTGCATGGCCTCACGGGATATGGGTAAGGTCATCAGACGTCATCTGACTTGAGAGCTGCCAACTGTTTCCTAGGATTTAACGATAACGACGATCGAGTCAGTTTCTCACCCTGCGAGACTTCAGAGGCGGTTGCCTTTTCCCAATACTGTTTGATTCGTTTCCGTCTTGACCCTCTTTGTCTATGAGCACCGAATTGAGCCTCTGCCTTTCGATGCAGACTGTTTTTTCCAAGAAAGTCAAGACATCCTTCAAAGGATCAAAGAACTGAGCCCTAGATGGGGCCAGGACGGCGGACTCCAAGAGTCTGACTGAGGGGGCCTGGGGGCTCAGCCCTGCGCGGTGGCACACGCCTGCAATCCTAGCTCCCTCGGAAGCTGAGGCGGGAGGATCGAAAGTTCGAGCTCAGTGTGGGCCACGGGGCGGACCCAGTCTCAAAATTTAAAATTCTTTAGCGGGCTGAGGACGTGGCTCTGTGGGAAGACCCTGGGTTCGATCCTCAGTGGCACGAAAAATAAAAATAAAGGGGCGCTCGCACCTCCTTCCTCACCTTAGTTCCTCGGATTTTTAAGAGAGGGCGAGGAAACTAAGGAGTGCCCAGTGGGATAGGGGCCACAGACTCCATCCTTGATCCCAGCGGGAGACAAAGGTGACTCAGGCGTGCGGGCCCAGGAGCGCGCGCGGGACCGTGAGCCAGGCGCGGCGGCTCCACCATGCGGCGAGACCCTGGAGCTCCAGGAGGGAGGCCCCGACTGGTGGGCCGGGAGGCAGGGCCCAGGGAGCAGGCAGCAATCTCCGCGGAGGGGGCGAGCCAGGAACGCCCCCCGCCCCGCCCCCCGCGCGAACCGAGTCACGCACAGCCCCCGGCCTCCGGGAGGGCGTCCCCAGCCACAGCGCGTGCCTCACGTCTTCCCGCCACCCCGCCCCCTCGCGCTGCGCACGCGCGACCGCGCCCCGCCCCCTATCTCCGTGTGGGCGGGGCGGCAGCTCCAGACCTCGAGCGCGCGAGCCGTCGCCACCGCCGCCGCCTCCGTCGCGTCACGGCTCCGGGTCCGCCCTCCCCGGCCCCTCCCCGCGCTCCGTTTCCCCCTCTCCCTCCTCCTCAGACCTAGCAGTGACTTAAGCAACGGAGCGCGGTGAAGCCCATTTTTCTCCTTCCTCGCAGGCGCGCCGGGGGATCTTGCGGCGCGCGGCCCCTCCACTCCGGCCCGAGATGAACGCTGCGGCAGAAGCCGAGTTCAACATCCTCCTGGCCACCGACTCCTACAAGGTAGAGCTCGCGGCGGGGACGGGAGCGGGCGCAGCGGGGCCGGGCGCGGGGCAGGGCGGCCGGGGCCGGGGGTTGCGGCCCCGCGGGC